CCCTGCTCCAGCTAGAGAGCAGAGGGGTGGGGTCATCCTTGTTGCTGGAATGTAGAGCCCTGCCCAGCCCAGAGAGCATGCTGGGATGCTGAAGGACTCCAGTTTAACTTAAACCAGGTGGAGAACAAAGGGGAAGAAGACTCATCTATCAGGGCTCTCCTCACTTGAACAACAGCTGCTACCACTGCTGCCAAGCCAAGTGAGTTTGTGGCTCCCGTTCCCAGTCAGGTGGGGACACAGGAACACTTTGTGCCCCTCGGCTTAACCCCTTTTCAGATCTGGCTCAAGCTACTGTGCACGCAACACAGAAAGGAAGAGTTTAAGTGTATTCAGCTATTGAAGGAGCTGCACTTGAATTTTTACGCACTCTACTGTAGTCATATTCCTTATTTGAAAGGATTCAAGGCAATGCAGTGCTCCCAAGAATTTAATCTCTTATGTTTGTTCCTCTTTCACATGAAAGTAAATTTAATGTAAAAAAGATTCTAGATGTTCTATAATGAATATTCAAGTACGCTACAGAAAGCACTGCCAATTGATACCCCAGGGCCAGTAGCCTGGTGGTGGTTTTAAAATAAATCTATCAACTCAGGGATTGGATTGGAGAATAACAAACATTGCACATATATTTAAAGAAAGGTGAAAGTAATCTGGACCTAGTACACTTTGATTTTAGTACTGTGCAAGTTTCAGGAACAAATTTTGAAGGAAAGAATAATTAAAAACATAGAGCTAGTTTGAAAACTGGATAAAAGACAACAGGGGTTTACCAAAGGCAGATCATGCCAAACTAATCTGATATCCTTTCTTTGAAGAGAGAACCTATTTTTAGGTTTAAAAAAATGTGGTAGAGTTCACCTATCTAGACTTCAGGTAAGCATTTGATACAGTGTCACCTATGAAAATTTATTAGAGACCCTTAAGAGGAGGGCATGATTGCATCTGTATCATCTGGGCATAAGTACCAAGGAAGGAGAAGAGTTAGTTTGAAACTACAGAACAATGTTGGCCACAGGACTAAATGGATATCAACTGACCATAAATAAATTTAGGCTGGAAATTAGGAGAAGGTTCCTAACCAGTAGAAGAGGACCTGGAACAATTTGGCAAATGGAGTAGTAGGGACAAAAATGCCTAATTCCTTCTTAGATACAGCTTGACCAATTAATAAGAGAGATTATATGACATGTTAACTGTGACAGCAAAGGGCTGGATTCCATGACCTAAGAGCTCCTTTCCACTGCTGTGTTCTTCCTGGCCAGCATTTGACATTCAACAGCTGTGAAACTGCAACAAAAAGGACCCTTCCCATGGTGTGCTGCTTTATTTTTTCTAATTGGAATTGTTTTAATATTATGAATATGACTCTGGAAACATTATAGCTTAAATGACACTAATAAACAGGTATATTTTTGTATTTAGTCATATTTAGACTCTGGTGTCTGAATTATCCGCACGTGTTCTAATCCTTGAATTAATTTCCACTGGATTATCAAGCGACACATTAAAAAATAATCAAGGGAGAAATTACGTTCTTAAATTCAAATGAATATAAAACATAATTTCCTCACCACAGGAGTAGAGACAATGGATTATCTACTTACATGTATTTCTTCTTGCACAGCAGTGTTGCGAAAATTTAAATCTGGTTGCTCATTCCCAAATTGGTGAAAATAACACTGCTTTCTCACATCATCATACTGCCAGCTGGAATTCCCATATACACTTACCTGGTTACATGGAAAACAATATCACTTATCAAATAAAGTGGCAGTCATCAGCATTTGTACATTCTGTAATTAAACACAGTGCTTCAAACAAGCACATAGTATAGCATACTATACAAAGATGGCATTTATTTCCCATTTCCCTATTTACAATTAGCCTGGAACTGACAGCTTTCATTGTCCAAAGATAAATGCACAAAGTAAGGTAACTCTTCTAAATCCAATCAGCTGAACACATTTTTGCATTCCACATACAAAGTTTTGAGGCCAATAGGAGCTCTATGTGCTCATCACCCTTCCAAATCAGATGAGGAATACAAAATGGAAGTTGCTTTTAACAGCCTGTTACATTTTTAATGTTTCATCACTCTGAAGAGAAAACATACCCTTTTTCAGATGTTTCTCCTTCTTAACATTAACCTGCTAAGCATTGTCTCCATACAAGTATAAATCTCCCTACCTATACAAGAATACGCATATTTTTCCCTTACTAATACCATTTTAGTTTAGCTGTAAAGACATAACTAATAGTTGCATATGTTCTTTTATAAGGGAATTCTGCATTCTGTTCCAGTTCTGCCTGCTCTTTGGTATTTGTTATCTTTATTTGGACACATTTATGTTTTGTCAGGCATATCTTTTTGACCGTATATTTATCGAGATCCCAAGACTTGTTTCAATATACTATGAAAATCTGCTTAATTTGAGAGTCCTGATACAAGACTAATTCTTTTTCATTGCAATTATTTCCTAAACATATAACATTTTTAATGCTATTTAGGTGCTTTTTAAGAATTTTGATAGTAATAAAGAAGGGCTGTTAATAAAATACCATAATAAGTGCTATGTACTGAGCCAGAATTCTTTTCCTCTTAGTTTGTTGGAGAAGACTATAAAAGAAAATGACAGATTTTTTGCTTTATGATTTATTGGATACTCTGAACTTAAAAATGGCATTTAGTTTTTAAGTCCTTACTTGTTGCTAAAAATAGCTGCTCGCTGCTTTTACCAACAACTATGGTTTTTTTCACTATCTTGAAACTTTTATTGGTCCTTAATTTCGTTAAACTCGTTGCAAAAGCTGTATTGAGGACTATGTTGACCTGACAGAGCCCTTTTAAGATACCAGTAACGGTGAATATTTGAGAAGGCTAAACTCACTGCTTCTGTGTGCAGTAGAGTCCAGAAATTAAGCTGTTATTAAATTAAACTGAAGCCAGTTTTATAGCAAAACAATGTTAGTGATTTGTAAGTTTGGTACATATTTTTAGAAGATGCAGGTTTGTATCATGCAGTATAATAATTCGGATTTCCAGTTAAAATATGGAAAACAAGGGGAATAATTTAGTGAGCTGATTTCCAGCATTTTCACTTACTAGGAAGGATTTTTAAAAAAGGAAAGCAATAAGTCAACAATGCACTGTTCTGTTTTTCTCTGAAATCATAGTTGGCATGGATAGAAGACAGCTGTGAGAAAGCTTCCAAAGTGGAATACCCATATACCAATGGGTGTTATAGTAAATTAATTGCACAGAATAGTCTTTTTCTGTGTGACACCCTTACAGAGAGGGAGATGCAGCATTAAGGGTGAGGAACAGAATCCAAAACAGATTAATGAAGACACAGAAAACCAATGCTGCCTAGCTGCCTAATTCTTGCATTTTAGTTGAACAAGTCACGTAGGGACAAAAGTTACTAATAAAACAATATGTTTGAATGAAACATCTGCTATTTGTGGCAAGCACTATACTGTACCTTTCTGCTCACTGTGTTTCAGTGATTTGTTATTCACTGTAATCTGTAAAGGACAGAAGCCCTGTATTTACCCAGTTGTTAGGAGGAGTGATTGTACCATCAGCCTGTGCACAATCATGCCAGATGTAGTAATCCACATACTTCCCAGTCCTGTTGCGACTCAGCTGAAACCAACTGTGTTTGGCACTTGTGTGGTTTGGTATTAAGTCCATTATCACCTTTAAGCCTTATGAATCAAACATGGAAACGATTAAATCCAAGTAACCCAAGACAGGAAATTCACATTTACTAATGTAGAATTCAAACACATACTGGAGTGTTTTACAGGACTGTAATGTCCTGCAGTTTTACAGGACAGTCTTCTGTCCTGCAGTATTTAAAGTCTAAGGGCTGGTCCACACTTAATAGCCTTGTTGACATAGCTATACTGGTTAGGAGCATGAAATAATGCCCTTAATTGATGTAGATCTGGTGAGAAAAGTCAAAGTACAGTTTCAGTTCTACTAGCCAAGGCTCCTTTTTTACCCGCTCTCAATATAGCATATTTTGTTCAGGGAACTGATATGAGTTACACCAGGAAAAAGTTTTCTTTTGCAGACATAACTCCAAGTTACCTCTGCTAGCAAAGTTGTTGTTTTGTTTTTTTTAACTATAGCAATACTTTTATAGCATAGACAAGCCTATGGCTACAATCCTGCAGATATTGCTACACTTGTTTACATTTGCTTATGCAAGTAATTCCTTTGAAAGCAGCTAATTGCAGTCATATGCCTCCTTCCTCCCTGGGAATTTACAACCAATCAGAATTTTTTCCACAGATCTATGCATGTATGCGCTTCAGAAGGAAAAGATTATTGGACCTAGGGTGACATCTCTGGCCCAAAACACCTCATCACCCCAAAACCAACTCCTACAACAACACTATTGATTATGGTGCTAATACAGAAATGCATGCATCTCAGGATTTAGTTAAAAATACTGATGCAGGTACCAATAAATACAATCTCTTGAAAAGGAACATTGCTTGTTCCTAAAACAATGTGGAAAGAGCTTTAAGTTGAGACCACCTGAGAATCTGCTGAGAGATACCTGGATCTACAGAGGCCCTCTGCTGCTATACTGACTTTCTGTTCCCGCTCCTGGATATAATCCAAATTCCATGAACCACCAGTGATAATGGAAGACCACCCAGGCTGCGAGTCATACTTGATCTGAGCCTTCAAGAGGCCAAGAAGCAATGCCTTTTTCACACCAACCCACCCTTGGTTTGGCGAGGCTCCTATCGCCTGTGCCAAAAGAGGCTAGAGAACTAGTGTTACAAAGAGAACTCCATACATTTAAAGCCAACATAAATTATTTAATGCAAGGCAATCACATTTAATTACTGAAACAAGAGCAACCTTTTATTCCCTGAATGACTATTTTTAGGAGCACCGCTATTTGTCACATCTCCAGATTACCTTTATCATGAATAGCTGCAATCAGGTTTTCAAAATCCTTCATCGTTCCAAACATAGGATCAATATCACGGAAATCTTCTACTCCATACCCAAAATCTTTTATAGGAGATTTATAAAAAGATGTTATCCAGATTGTTTTTACATTTAAATACAAGACATGGTCCAGTTTTTCTTGGATACCTGTGAAAAAGACAAGACAAGACAAAACAAAACCTCTTGCAAAGACAACACAAAACAGCTACAGAAAAGACTTAGCACCTGAGTTGATGTTGTCATAGACTTTCAAACTGCAGGACATGTGTGGGTTGTGGGATATGTGACCTCCTTCCTTAAGGCTAGAGGAATCTTGAAACGCTTACATTATGGTACAAAGTCACAGAATGGGAATTGTTGACTGCCATTAAAATTCTTTATTCAATAGCAACTGAAAAAGATTAATTCTAATAAAATGTATTAGTTATCTCATACTTTCCATTTTGTTAGGAAAGGAATCCTAACACCACTTGGAGAGGCAGGTTAGTACAATATAAAAACAAATGACCCAGCCTTCACCTCCAGGTAGATGAAAGACATTCTCTTTTAAATCAGCGCTTTTGCTTAATCTCTCACTCCAATTCTCTCTTTTGTCCCAGAAAATCACACCAGCTTTCCTCTTCTCAGTGAAGACTAGTATATTTGCCTGCTACATTGCAGTTCTTATGCACCTTTGGAATTTTTTTCATTTGTTGCTTGCCGTTGAAGTGTGCCTACTACCTTCCTTTACTGTGCATTTTTGGAGTAAAAACTGCAATTCAATTGAGTTTGTAATGTTTCACACCAGCTGTTTGTATCAGATACACTTGGAGATTCATCATCTGAAATGCACAGAGAAAATACTTCTTTCTTCCCTGGTTCAATTGATGTTGGCCCATGGGCCAGAGCTGACTTGCCACGCCATTCTATCCGACCTGTGGGACCCTTCTAAAATTCAGAAAACTATTACCGGTCAGTGGCTGCCTGTCTAAAAGCTGATGAGGCACCAGGGGCAGGAGAAGCCAGTGGTAGGACCCAGCAGTGGCATGAGCAAGGTCCATGTGTCCCCACCCCATCCCACACCCTTACCCCCAGCCCCCAACCAGAAGCTTCAGCCTAGCAACGGCTTCTGGCCTGGTGAACTTGGGGCTGTTCCCCC